AACGCGGCCGCACACTGGCAAATGTATTTTAAACGTCATTACTTTTCTTCATTCGATGCTGTGTGTGTGCGTGTTTCTTTCATCTGTGAGTGTGTGTTTGTGTGTGTATGTGTGTGCGCGCACGCGTGTTTGTCTGAGTTGGCGTATCCAGGGACTACTGTCCAATTTTATTGTGCAGTGAACAGTAACAAAAAGTAAGAAATAAAAATAAATAAATAAATTGTATGAAATTAATTCTATGTAAATATTGTTATGATTTATTTATTTTGTTTATATATTTAATATTAATGTTTTAAGAAAGTAAGTCGTTTTTATATATATATATATATATATATATATATATATATATATATATATTATTAAAGATATTTTTATTAAAGACATTTTTTATTATGTTTAACGTTGTTATTTTATAATAAAATTTTAATAAAATGTCTTTAATAAATAAATTGTCGGACCTTGTCCATTTCTTAATATATATATATATATATATATATATATATATATATATATATATATATATATATCCCAACAAAGGCGATAATGCCACTAAGACGCAAGGGGTGGATTTTGGGGAAATAGAATGAGAAGACTTTAGAAGGAATCGGAAACCCATTCCTAAACAGTAAACAGGGGACAAACCTCTACTCCTGTTTAAAAGACTGGGGAGTATATGCAGTTTCCAGTATATATATATTGCTGTTTCCAGTGTTTCCCGTGTATACTCGCGTATCATGTGACCTTTGAAGACCAAATTTTGAAGCTAATTTAACTACAGTAAATGAATATATAGTTTGGTTAGCGGCGTAGCAGTACATACGCTAATTTTATATCTTGAGTATGACGCGGCTCCCTTAAAATTAGGTTTTCAAAAGTCGGATGATACGCGAGTATACGGTAATTAAAATTTTTCTTATACGTACATGTACGGGATTATTCCCCTTTGAAAAGAAACCTTTTGATAAACCAAGAAATAAGTCTAAAACATCCGGGTCAGAAGTTATGCTTAAGTAAGTCTAAGAATGAGTCATCTGAGTATTGGCGTATCCTTGGCAACTCCAATCAAAAACAAGATATAATTGTCCTTTCTATATTCGTAACTTGAGAGAAAGAGGAAGAATATAAATTAGAGAAAGAAGTAATTTAAGAAAAAAATAATGAAATCCAAAACAGAAATAAAAGAAGAAAAAGCAGAGAAAAAAGACGAAAAATGATGAAATTAGGAAAAGTTGGATTTAAGAGATGGAGAAAAAAAAAAGGGAAAGAAAGTCAAAAAATAATGTTTAACAAATGATGAAAGTGCAATAGTGAAAAAAAAATGTATCCAAGGTAATATTTCTATTACTATTTTCAAAATAATGTAATATTATGTTTGTTTTTTCCTTTATGTTCTGAAATGAATACTCAATAAATTTTTGTCATTTGCGATATCGTCTTTATTTCACTCATTTTCGAGAGGTTTTATTTTATTCATAAACACATTTCTTCTAACAATTTATTTATGATTGTTTTCTACTCGCTTAAAAAAGGGAATTGATTTTTCAAAATTGTTTTCTTTTAATCACATGGGACGTTTTTGTTTGACACTATCTTTTTAATTATGGAAAATATTTTGTGCTATTTTTAGAATACAAATAGATTTCAATCTTGTATCTAACCAACGTTTCCCTGTCAATACACCTCCACCTTCTCTCCCATTTTTTAGTCCTCCCTGAAAATCATTTCTAATTGTACTCGAACACTGACCATTGGTACCTATATAAAAAGTGCAATTATCTTAGCCAGCAAGCATTCACAAGTATTGATTCACTTGTGTCTATTTTCAAGTTTTATCATCTAAACCACTGGGCAAAAAGCCAGTGAACTCATTTCCAGTGATGAGTTAGTGTTTTTCTTACTCTCTCACCCTCTCAGTAAAGAAAAGAAAAATCATCAAATATTTAAATGATTTTTCCAGATATGAATAAAAAAAAAATTTTGATCGTTTGTACAGAAGTTAATAAAGTGATGACATTAGCCCCAAATTATCAAATATCGATCTGATGCGATAAAATTCCAGAGTTGATAGTTTTGAATTTAGAATTGAATCCATGATTATTTCCATTTCATTTTTTAAATTATTATTATCCTTATTAACTGTTCACACTATGTTTTACACTGGAGATTAAGTGACAGCAAGTCTCTTAAATACTACAAGTTACTAGTTATTCTAGTTAGTTTCAATAATGCTATATTTTGATGTGTTTCAAACACTTTCTTTAATTTCCAGTTCATCTCTTTCTTTTCTAGGCTCTTCGGAACTGTTCATCATATCGCTCTAATAAACGACTCAACAAGTTGTCGCCTCTCTCGCATCGTTGATATTCTTATTAATCCTTTCGTATACTTTCACATCTGCAGAACAGGGAAATCGACTATATATACACTGTGGGCCAAATTATTATCGAGATAACTATTTTTCTAATATTTCAAAAACCGTCCAATCAATTCACACAAAATTTTCACACAATGTTGGCAACACTGGCCTGCGCAATCATTGAAATTTTCGTACTGATCTGCGCAATGTAAACAAACTGGCGCCATATTTGTTATTAGCAGGGTGATTTGAGCGTGCCAAATTATTAAAAAGCTTAAGTAAAATTCCCAGAATTGAGCAAACAAAACGTTTATTAATGTTGCACGTGAATGTTTATGATCAAAAGAAACTAATAAACAAATAATAACAGATACAAACAAAGGCACAGTTTTAAACAAATTAATAGGGAATGTGCTTTCCCTGTTTTGAAATTAGAAGACGACGATCCATAGAATTTGTTAATTGTAGGATGTCATCTGTTATAATGCCGCGAGATATGTCAAGAATTGCTTCCCACAACTCAGCGTTGCTCCTGAATTGTCGTCCGTTGGCGTACAGTCTTCGCTTCATGATGCTCCAAAGGTTTTCGATTGCGTTCAAATCTGGAGTATTTACTGGCCACTTCATTTTTCGAGATCCGTCGAAACCTAACTGTTTCAAATATTCAGTAGTCTTGTGAGCAGCATGTGAGGGAGCATTATCTTGCATAAAAACAATGGCCCTTCTGAAGGCAAATCTTTGCCTTTTCATCCACGATTCAAGATACTCCTCCATAAACGATATGTATGCATCAGCAGTCATTTTGACGCCATCTGGTACTCTCCATGGGCCCACTAATGTTTTTCCAATAATACCACCCCAGATCATTATGCTTCCACCGCCTTGTTGGCTTCTCAAACGCTGATGGCGATTCTGTCCGTTCATTACCAAGCCTTTGCACCATCTATCTGGCCCATCAAGTGTTGCTCTAGTTTCGTCTGTGAACAAAACTTTAGAGAAGTCAATCTTCATATTGTCCTCGGCCCATTTCAATCGATTTTGAATGTGATTTCTCGTCAACGGAGGCTTCGATACAGGTTGGACTGTTGTTGCTATTTCCCTCAGATACTGACACCGAGTACTTTTAGACACAGTAGGATCCCCAATGCAACTGAAAAGCTCTTGACAGGGTTCTTCGTGGCCTCTCGCTTAAGTCGTGACATGAGACGACGTGATAAAACCCTTGGCTTAACTTTATCTGCCCTTTTGCGTACTTGTGTAGAGTCGACGGTGAACTTTTTCACTGTTTGATGACACCTCCCTATCATTTTAGAAATTTCTATGGTAGATTTACCTTTTGAGAGTTCTGAGGTAATAGTTTTCTTTTCAGCATCACTTAAACAACAAACAATTGCTTGTTTAAAATATCTATATATAAATTTGTTCTTTAAAATATTTACATATCTGTTTGTTTTTAATTAAAAATGTATAAATTCGTTTGTTCTTTAATTAAAAAGTAACTTTTTTGTAAGAAATGAAAAAAAGTTCACAACAAAGTCAATTGAAAAGTTGAAATTGAAAGAATCTTCAAGGGAGAGTCACTTTTCCCCACTATTAATCGCCATAGCAACAATTCCGCTGAATTATGAATTAAAGAAATCCAACCAGGATTACAGTTTCACAAATTTTTGCCAAGACAAAATATTTCAAGCAAGATCTTCAGTCAAGTTATAGCAATTCAATTTGGCATTGAGTAATGTGCGAAGCTGATGATAGACAAAGAAAACTTAGAAATGATTGGCAGAATGGAATTAGCCAAGCAGGAAATTGTTAGAATGCTCGATATAAAGGAGGAGTAAAGGTATTTGGGCATTTCTGGAAGAAAACGCCACCAAAAAGAAAGTGATTAAGAGGGAAAAGTCAAGAGAGTACCTCAGACGAATAGGAAAATACTAGAGATTAAGATTGGAATTATTATGATTATTATTATTAGTAGTAGTAGTGTTAATAGTAGTTTCTCAATGTTAATATTACTGATAAAATTACTAATAAATAACTGATAATAATTTACTCTTAAAAGGAACTTTTTAAGAATAATGTAATAACCATTTTGTAAGTAGGAACCAGTTGCAAAAAATTAGCGTTGATGAGTTAAAATAAAGGCTTATATATGTGAAAGGTTTCTTGCAAATTTGAGGCTTCTTACAATTATAACAGGCAGACATAGATAATGTGCAATTCATTTAATGAATTGTTTGCAATTTAAGTAAATATGTTTGAATTCAACGGTTAATGTTGACATTCATTAAAAGGCTTCTATGAGATGCATTTAGAATATGATATTCTTTGTCAAACTGTAACATGAACATATGGTAAAAACTATGTGTGGGCTGTAAGACGATCAAGTACATACGGCATTAAGGGAACAATTACGAAACAAAATTAAAGAGAAGAGAAAAAATATTAGTAGGAAGAATATGATCATTAAAATGAGATAACATCAGAAGAATAGAATATAATCTGCAAATAGAAGTAGGAGTAGTAGTAGGAGAAGGAGAGTGTGATAACGCAATACAAAGGATGAAAAAAGTAGAACTAAATATGGTATTTGGAAGAGTAAAAATGAACAGGGAAAGAAGTACAAACACGAAACTATCGATAGAGTTTAGAAAAGTGTCAGATATAGTGAGAGAGAAAGAAGGGGAAGTGAAAGTGAAAGAGCGGAAGATAAAGGCAACAAGAAAAGAAGAGAAAGATATATGGAGAAAGAAAGAAAGCTAGAGATATCAAGAAAGTGAGAAAGAAAAGAGCGAACGATAGAAGAATAGATAGTAAGAGAAAGAAGATAAGTGAAAAAAGATAATGAGAGTGGGAGATAGAGAGAGAAATAAACAGTGGCAAAGAGAGAGAAAACGTTTCTGAGAAAGATAAAGATAGTGATAATGAAACTCAAAGAGATTTTGAGAAAGAGATATTGAGAGAGAGAGAGAGAGAGAGAGAGAGAGAGAGAGAGAGAAAGAGATATTGAGAGAGCGAGAGAGAGGTTGAGAGGAAGAAATATATAGCGAGAGGGAAATAGATGGTGCGAAGATGGAGGAAATGATAGGAAGAGAAAAAAATGAGATAATAAAAAAGAAGGAAAGAAAAATCGAGACAGAAATATCATGATACTGAAGGTAAGAGAGATAGAGAGAGAGAGAGTAAGAGAGAGAGAGAGAGAGAATAAATAAATGATGACGAGCTTCACTATTGTCATTCTGAGATCTGCAATTAAGAAAACGTTAAAAAGATCGAGAACAACTTTAGAAAAAATGAAATGATTAAAAGAACGAATAATGCAAGAATCCAAATGCCTTATTTTCTCTGTATATTTGTTTTACCAAAGGCCCAAGAGCCACTCAAGATAGAGGGTTACTGAATGAGGCGCGTGATATGAATGTAAGAGAAATATGAAATGAAGATTATGAGGATAAGCAGGATAGATAACAATTGACCTTTGACTTGAAGAGGTTAGGATTGATGTGTGAAGGGAAACATCTACGTGTATGTCTGTTCCACAAAATAGTATTTCTTAGGGAAGCAGATGTTTGAGTGGAACATCCTTCTTACAATTGAAATATAAAGAGGAAATGAGGGTACTTCGACTCCGTGGTCGTAGCATGGTGAGTCTTAACTGTAAAAGTCTGAATTAGTATAACTAAAGAAGGAAGCTCATCTGAACATTTGCCATGGGAAATGGCGATAGGGTAGCAACAGGCTTGTAATGTTGTATCTATAGGGAATAGATTGCAGAATGGAAAACAAGCCCCCCACCCCAACAATGCCGTGTAAACAATTGAACTCTATAAAGAGTGGAAAATGTAATTCCAGACCAGATATGACAGTAACTCGCTATTTTAGTGCTGGTTCTTCAGTCACTTTCCCACCACCGTAAGTCTACCTTTTCTATAAATACTTTCATGGTAATTGTTCTCTATAGCACCTAGACGATTTTAGTTTAAGCGCAGTACTAGACTGGTGTCGAGATCTCATCAATTTACAGCTGAGTCAGCTAGCTGTAATCGTAAATTCTCTGCTAACAGTTTCTTTACTGGCACTTCTCGAATGTGGAACTCCCTTCCGGCTCCGGGTTTTCCAGCCAACTTTAATCTGCAAAAATTTAAAAACTGTTAGTCACTGTCCTCTCGATTACTCTTTTTGTTCTCGCTCATTAGTAATTTTTCTGTTTGTTTAACAACATATCAACTCCTTATGGGTCATTTAATGCCGAAATTTAATTTTTGGGGGAGCATTAGTAATTTCGTTTACAAAATTTCATTGCTGGTATTTTTTTTTCTTCAAAATGTACTGCTGGCAATTTTTATTTTCCAAAAATGTATTGCTGGTACTATCATTTTTTCCTTACAAAAACGCACTGCTGGTAATTGTTTTTACTACAAAAATGCATTGCTGGCACCTTCATTAGAAAAATGTATTTCTACACTTTCATAGTGTTTTAACCCCAGTTTGGGAGTTCATTATTTGCCCATAGCTGGGACCCTAACAGGTGCTACTACCTCGTGTCCGTGTGGACCTGGGAACAACAGCAATTAAGATGTGGTTCCAAGCTCCTCAAAACCTCCCGATCAGAGGTCTTGCTGCCAGATGTAGTTTATCGTCATACCCAGGACGGTAATGTTTCTGTTTCTAATTTTTCCACAACCAGAAGTTCCTTGTATCTTACTGATGTTACTGCCTTGCAGGGGGTGAACTCGATTAAAAAATATCTGACTTTTGATGAAGCATAGTAGAAGTCAGGTACATTCTGGGGCGGTAGAATAAGCTGACCATTGTTGATGAAATGATACTAGCTTAGTTTTGAACTATTGAAAGTTACAAATCAGTTTTCCTCCAATGAGCTGTTAAACCTAGGTTTAAAAAGAGATAAGCTACAAGGCTCCGAACATTTTGAAGGTGCTTCTATAAATTGTGGTATCATCAGCATAGACGTTTATTAATGATCTGAGAATATTGCAGTTATTATTAAAAAACAGGAAGAGATCAGGACGAAGGAGAGAGTCTTGGGAGACGTCTACGGTCTTCAACAGACTGGTCATTGACAATGAGCTTCGTGGACCTACCTGTGGGCAAGGACTTGACAATTTTTACAAAGATGTCATAGCTAAAGAATTTATGTAGCAAGCCCGTATTTTGTCAAAAGCCTTTAAGATATCTAAAATAGTCCCTCTCGTGATAAAACTATTATCGAGCGCTTCACTAATTCTGTGTGTAACGACAGATAAAACATCAGCTGTTTACCTAGAGGAGTGAAATCCATACTGTTTGACGCACAGGATGTTGTTTCTAGTGACGTGAGTAAAAGACTCAAAGAGTTGGCAAATTGAGGGAGGCTAATGGGGTAATATTGCGATGGGAATTGAACGCTCACCGACATTATTGAAAACAAGAGAAACAGTTGAAACTTCCACAAACTTAGGAAACATTTCTCTTTCAGGTAGCACTAAACACTTTTCCCAAGGTTGGAGATAATTCATGGCTAAGGTTCTTTGCATACCATATATTAAAGATAAATTCAGGTCTCTGGCTAATCGTCTACGCATGCGCTTTTAACAGTGAAGACACATTAATAATGTTATTTTTTTAATTTAAAACGTTGTATATTTTACAAACACGTAAATATATGGGAAAAATAATTACTAATTATGTACATGTGGACTTTTTTGTATGATTTTTAAAAGCATCCTTAAAACTGACATGGAGTTTTGGACGAAGAATTTAGCTCTTGTTCTTGTCCTGGTCAGCCTCAGGTCGAAGTTTCAGTCTAGTTTGATTTAAATTATCATTGTTTACAATTAGTTTTCATTACTACTAGAACCCCCCCTATATTATCACCTTATTTGTGGTCAGTGATCGGCTCAAGCTTTGTATTAATGAACCCCCCCTATATTATCACCTTATTTGTGGTCAGTGATCGGCTCAAGCTTTGTATTAATGAACCCCCCCCTATATTATCACCTTATTTGTGGTCAGTGATCGGCTCAAGCTTTGTATTAATGAACCCCCCTATATTATCACCTTATTTGTGGTCAGTGATCGGCTCAAGCTTTGTATTAATGAACCCCCTATATTATCACCTTATTTGTGGTCAGTGATCGGCTCAAGCTTTGTATTAATGAACCCCCCTATATTATCACCTTATTTGTGGTCAGTGATCGGCTCAAGCTTTGTATTAATGAACCCCCCTATATTATCACCTTATTTGTGGTCAGTGATCGGCTCAAGCTTTGTATTAATGAACCCCCTATATTATCACCTTATTTGTGGTCAGTGATCGGCTCAAGCTTTGTATTAATGAACCCCCTATATTATCACCTTATTTGTGGTCAGTGATCGGCTCAAGCTTTGTATTAATGAACCCCCCTATATTATCACCTTATTTGTGGTCAGTGATCGGCTCAAGCTTTGTATTAATGAACCCCCCTATATTATCACCTTATTTGTGGTCAGTGATCGGCTCAAGCTTTGTATTAATGAACCCCCCTATATTATCACCTTATTTGTGGTCAGTGATCGGCTCAAGCTTTGTATTAATGAACCCCCCCCTATATTATCACCTTATTTGTGGTCAGTGATCGGCTCAAGCTTTGTATTAATGAACCCCCCCCTATATTATCACCTTATTTGTGGTCAGTGATCGGCTCAAGCTTTGTATTAATGACCCCCCCCCCTTAAACGTCTTTGATTCTGTTCTTGGATGTGCAACTTTAAGAAATTTTAAACAGCTCAAAAACATCTTAAATCGTTATATATTCAATGATGGTCTATATGAATATTTATAATTCCCAAGAAGAAAGAGTCTTGTTTGTTCCTAAATAGAAATGTAAAATTGTAGCGAAAGTTGCGTTCAAAGATAACTTGAATGAAATATTCATTGACTAAATGCTTCATCTTAAAAGGTTGGTGTATTGATGTTAAAAAATGACTATAAATCATTTCCAGCTTTTAAATATATATGGATGGCTTCCTGATGTTCACAGAAAATGTTCTGAATTAAATCATTAAATGGTTGAAAGCAATACAGTTACATTGGCGAAATACTAACGTATTTCAGTACTGTAACTGTACTGTTTCCAGCCATTTAATTATTTAATTCAGTACATTGTTTTCAGAGCAAAAAACTACATAAAGCATTAAAATACTAAAGACAAGATTGATTTTATTTGTTTCGAATTATCAACCCATTGTGGTCTATTTAAAGCCGAAGCATATTTTTGTTTGTAAGAACCATTCTCTTTTGTGAGTGAATATTGGACGGCCATTTTTTTTAGAATAAAAATGATTTTTCCAGATAAAATTCCACTATTTAAGCCATAACTGAGGAGAAGGAAATGGATTCATATCGTTTCTCAATAAGTATTTGCGCGTAAATGAATGTAACGAATCCGACAAGAATTCGAACTCGTTTCTCCGATTTAGTTTACACCACTCGTACAATTGCAAGATTTCGTGGTACAGATAAACAGGTCTGTCGTCAGAGTGTTTTGATGAAGGGCGTACTTTAAGTAGGATTGGGGCGGGGGCAGTAATAATTTGCCCACTAAAATTAATTAACATCATTTTCAAAGAGTGGCAAACGATTTTCTAAGGGACAGCTACCCACTTGGTGACTATTCCCTTATCCTTAGATAAAATGTTTTCCTTATCAGTAGGATATTTGAATTACGAGCTTAAGTGACGTGCTGAAAATAGAATCAAAAATTTTGATACAAACATTCCTCTTTGCTGATACGTAGCTCCCAGATATCTTTTTATTTAGTTATTTGTATCTTTATGATTGTATAAATGAACACAAGATCAGTTAACATAAGATACAAGTCTACATTAGAATGTAGATTTGTATCTCTACAAAACACGAAACACGATCTTGGGTTGCTAGTTTAGGACGGACATAAAAAAGTGCTTGAAACGCATCGTATTTAAAACATCGAATAGTGCTTTGATACTTTCCTTTATGTGCAATGAGGAGTTGCTGCCAAAAGTACTAATCCGCGATGCTCAGGCGTGCAATTTTTCCCATACGAGTGACTGTCATTAAATTTTGCCATACTCACTTTTCGATGTTTTCTGGATTCGCGAAACTTTTCCTCCGGGATTTGTCTCCGCCATCAGAAAACTGAAATAATAGAGAAAGATTTAATATCGGAATGGGAATAGTTATTTACGATGCAGGAAACAGGTAGGTCAATCTACTTTCTG